AATATTTGAGATCACAAACATGCATGCACATCTGTTATATGAAATGGAAATTCAATTAAAGCTTCCCATACTCACGCTATTAAGTGCAACTTCTCCTACAATCCTCACACCAAATGCACAGATTTATACATTTATATTTATCGAAATCTAATTAATTCAATAATTTTTTTTTTCCTCTCTCATTTGCCATTCACGTATGTTATGTGCTCTGCTTTTGGTTCTTCGAACATTTCCGAATGCCGCCCACCAATTTCCTCTGTTAAATGAAATTCAGATCATATTGCATAAATATGTACAATTCGATGCAATTTTTTTTTACAAACTTAAAACAAAAACGACACTGGTTGATTTTTAATATTTTGTTGGTGTTTTTATTTTAAATTTTTCATATGCTTGAAAGCATGCAATATTTAAAAGATTTGTTTATTTTCATCCAGGTGGTATCCACTTGCTTTTAAATTTTATTTATCACTTTTAATCTTTTTTATTTTTGCTCGTTCGCGTATTTTTTTGGAGAGCAAATTTTTGATACATTTATTGATGAATTTTGCAAGTTGGTCTGACTATGCTTCACATATCTACTTAGTGCAATTTACATTGAGTATGTTGCAAATTTTTGATGATGTTTAATAGAAGAAATCGATCGTTTTGAAGATGTTTTCCTGCATCCAGACTTTATGTTGGTTTTTGTGCATGTCGAATTTACAAGAAAGTTTGAATTTGGGATCCTCAATTCGAATAGATTCTAGAAAAATTCTGTTCAAGTCGAATCAATTTAAATCGAATCTATTCAAATCAAGGATCCCCACTACTTGACATTTGATCAGCTAAAGCCAAAAGCTCATCCCTAGTTGAGCTGGGTTTTCGACCTAATACAATCAGCTTTATAGATTAACTTCAGTCCTTCAAATCCTTCTGAAAGGTCTTATTAGTTTTGTCTCAACTGAGGCCGATTTCTAGCAGAGCTCGAAGTCGACTCGAGATTTAAATCGATTTTGTATGACAAAGTCGACTCCGAGTCAACTCGAATCCATACAAAATTTCATCGACTTAGAGCTGTGGTTTCTTTTGCTATCCGTGGTTTGCGCTTAATGTAAATTTGATCCAAAAATGAAGGCTCTTACTTTCTTTACATATTTTTCATTCAGTAATCGTAAATGAATAAGACAATACTTCCTCTACCGATGCTGTATAAAATTAATCTTTTTCATACACACCTCTCTCTTCCTTCCTTCGTTCTTTTGAAACAATATATGCACTCTGTAATTATTGCTGTGCACTAATTTATTTTTTGTATTTTTTTATGAAATGCGTGCATGCAGAAATCAACATTGAATTTGGTAGAATATTAAATTTCGGGGATATTTGAGATCTTTGTAAAGTTTGTTTTTCAAATTTGCTTTGTAAATGTTGTGAAAATTAAATTAATTGGGATTTCTATGAATTTTTGTAAATCTGTCAATTAGTATTGCATATCTAAACAGTAACAAATATAATTTTCATTCATCCAACTCAAAACCTTACGACAAAATCAATAATTTTCCCAAGCATTCAATTCAACGACAATAAAGTCAATTCCAATTAAATCATCACAAGATTTTTGCCGTCAAAATGAAAACAATTTCGTTTTCTTTAATTAATAATTTATTCATCAGTGAATGTAAATTGAATTTTGTGATATAATCGAGAAGTAACGTGAATTAGACATGACAATGAGAAAATCAATGAATTGACTCAAGTTTGGAATGCTATAATTTTCCTATTTAAACAGAAATAATGGAATGGAAGTCATGAAAGTGAAGTCAATTCTAAGGCTTGCCATAAATAATTCACTGATGTCACGTTAAATTGATCAAGGTACGAACAATCAACACTTCATTCTAAAATAACAATTTTCATAGTCAAACTTTGATCAAAGCACTCAAATGGAGACTTAAAATGACTTTCACATCCAAAATTCAACCCTCTTAGATCACCCACCACGTTGCTTTTGTTCTATAGCCACTCGAATGACTCCTCGATCTTTGTTATTATTTCTTTAAGACAAGACTTTTATTGACCATCAAAAAAATAAAATAAAATGATGACTTTATTGTGCCACTTAATCATTCATAAAATGGATATTATGACTAAGAAAATCTAATTTTAAATGCATTACAAACTGTTCATAATTTCATTTCATGGTCCATCAATATTTTAAGTTTAAGGGATGGGAACTTTATGCCTTGACATTGAGTTTTATATGGCTTGCAATGTTTCGTCCAGAAAAGGCTCATAATACAATTCAAAAAATTATTTCTAGACCTTTCCGTACACCCCTAAATCTTGGGTGCCTTACTGGATGATGAATAATTCAAAAGAGTCTTTGTAGACATGACCAAGACATCAAAATCAAAAACTGAGTTCTTAAAAACCAGTAAAATAAGAAATAATTTTTAAAGACAACAGAAGTATGAAGAAATAACAATAAACTAAGCCATCATCATCAAAATACAAAACGAAACATTTTTTTCAAAATCCAATTCATTTTATACACAAAAACCGTGGAGTTTCCAATCTCATAAAATACCCAAAAACCCATAGAAAAACAATAAAAGTTTTCAATCCTTATTTATGACCATTAAATTTAACAACCGCAACCAAACTAATTACAAATTTGCATGCAAAATATATCATATATAAAAATATCTCAGAATTCTCAAAAAGAATGTGATTCATCAGATTCAATCCAATCGGACCCCAAAAAAAATATTATTTACAAGAGTTTAAAGCTCTCGATTGTTATCTCGTCTGCCAGGTGTTTTTACTTGTGTTGTTTTGTTTAGAAAACAACGCAGTCTAGAATGTGAAGTCATGACTCATTCGTATAATTTTCTGTCTATTTTATACTCTTGTAGATCTTTTTCATTCATGTGACGATCACTGCTTCATCTCACTTGTTCATTCTCCTTTGTTTTGCTTTGATGACTTTATTCTGCGACTCAATGTTGTTTACTTCTTAGTTATCTGCTTCTTACAAGATTCTCAATTTGCAAATTCGCTTATTCCATTCTTGTTATTTATTTATTACTGTATGATGAAGTATCTCGACTCTTGAGAATCTTTTCGAATTTTTATTCCCCATTGCAATTTGAGTAAACAATACCGAGAAATGACTAGAAAATTAAGAATGGAAGTGGTCTATTATTAGATGGCAAAATGTTAATGGGATGTGGAAGTTGAAGATTAAATGGCGACTTGATTTTAAGTTGTTAATTGAATTTTATGAAGACTCAAAAAGAATCAACAATTATGTAGAGATTGTCACAAAAAAACTATTAGATATTAACCAATTATCATTGTTCCTTTAAATCTTGAGCAGGGGCCTTTCTTTTACGTTTATCGTGGATAAAGCCTCAGATATACTCCAAAGAACCTAGCCCCAGAAGCCATACACAGCATCTATAACTCCATCTATAGAATCAAAAGAACTTCTCATTAAATAAATGCCAGTGACTCGATAACGACTGTCTCGAATGATTTTACAACTTCATTAGCATTATCCGAACATTTTGTTTCTAATTATTAACACTTGTTGATCATGATTAACATTAAAATAGAATAAAAAATAATAATTAATTGATTATGAGAATTTAAATCAATTAAGCAGCAAATTCTTCATGTCACATACGTGAGAATGCAACAAATTAACTGTAAATAATAAAAAATTATAAATTTCTAATCTATTCAAAACATCCATAAATCATTGATAAAAAAATTTAATTTAATTTAATTTTACGTCGCTGAGAATATTCGCATAATGTAATTAATTGAAAGTTAATTATATTAAAAACGAGTTTTGTTGTTGAGACTGAGACAATCTAGTCTCAATTGGTGTTAAAAGTAGGTTGTAAATTGCATTGAAATTATGGGATACACGACGCATTTGATTTATTGATTTACTTTGTAGTTCTTAATTGCTTTAATGGTTTTTGCATGTAAATGTCAATCAGAAGTTTATTCAAGGAGGAGAAGGTGTTAGGGGTCAATCTGGGGTGGAGCTAGAAATTCTTTTGTAAATTAATTTTTTTTTAAATTTAAAAGTGTAGATTTGAAGCATCATCTTGGTTACAGCATACTAGTAAAATGGTCAAACTAGTAAGTTGATCAAGCTAATAAATTGAACAAGCTAGTAAGTTGACCATACTAGTAAGTTGATCAAGCTAGTAAATTAAACAAGCTAGTAAGTTGACCAAGCTGGTAAGTTGACTAAGCTAGTAAGTTAACCAAGCTAGTAAGTTAATAAATCTAGTAAATAAGTCAAGCTAGTCTAGATTCAACTAGAAGCAACTGCAACTCAAAGTTTTTGGCTACATTCCTGATCACAATCTAAAATGTATGAATGACTAATTTGTGGATTCCCCAAAACTATTAAAATTATAATGCGCAAATAATTTATTAAACTTGGAATTTCATTGAAGCAGATAAAATCTCAGCAAGAACTAATTTTCAATGCTGTTCTTCTATCATCACGATTGGAACATTCGAAATATGAGAAACCAATCAATCGCCTACAAAAGATGATAAAAAGCCGATCAACAAAAGATCGGCAAAACAAAATGGAAATTGAAACATTCGAGATGATCTTGTCGGTGAATTTCACTTCTCGTACTGTTTGCAATCTCGACACGTACGGTTTTCATTCACAAAAATAAGAGTCAGAAGATATACAATATTAATATGTGTCTATAGATACATGATGCGAGCTTTAGTTTCTTTCAACAAATCTTTTTTTTCTTTCCACTTTGTTTTTTTTCTCTTCCGATCGTGTTAAATTCGCATTTTGAGATGTTTTTCTTTTCTGTGCTGCTTCTTAAATCAGTTCGTGTTGAGCTGTCGTGGCGATCGGTCTGAAAATTTTAAGCGAGCAGTGCAAAATAAACTAAACATATAGGAAAAATAAAAAAAAAACAGTCAGTTATCGGTGTTGTATTGAGGTTTATTGAAACAAACAGCAGCATTTGCTACAAATTTCCATTTAAAGAAATTAAAAGTAAAGCAAAATGTTATTTATTTATTTTTTGTTGCAAAAGAGAGCGATAAATGCTGTGGGAAAAAAGTGTTTATCGAATTGAGCATTGAAAGATTTTTATTTTACTTCTGAGAATTTAAATTTGTAGATTAAACTGTTTTAATATATTTTTTGAGAGACTTCTTGGGAATCGAAGTAGTAAAAGTGAAGTGCATTTTTTGGAGAAATATAAAGTAAATAAGATGGAAAGTTTGTGTTAAGGTCTTTTGGGGGAAATTAATTGGAAATTATGGTGAAATTAAGAGAAATTTGTGTGAAAATTTTGGATTGGATGAAATAATAATTTTTTTATAATTGTTAATATCATTTAGAATTAAAATAATATAAAGTCTGTAGAAGACTGAATTTTATCAAAATTTTTGATTTATTTTTTTCCAGTTTTTCTAATAATTAAAGTTTTTGAATTTCAAACTAAGACTTATTTATTTTTTATTTTTGAAAATCTGACAATTCAAGTTAGGAAATTTAATTTTATAAATTTAAATATTGTAAATTTTCAATATTAATGATTTTTTAATTAATAAACTTATTGTTTTTTTAAAAAACATTTAAAATTTTCTCAATTTTCTGTTTATAAAAATAGCCATTAAATTGAATATTTGATTTAAAAAAACTCAAAAAACTTTTTGAAATCTTTGAACAATCCTTTTTTTCAATTCAGTCAAATTCCTTTGACTCTAATTTTAATTTTAAAAATGTTGATAAAATTCTAAAAGAATTTCAAAAATTCGACTGCCATAAATTCCAAAAATAATATTTCTTTCCTGATCAACATAAAAATTAAGAACATGCACCATAGTGTTCTGATGACACACCAATAACTTTTATTGTAATTTGATCAGTTGAGCTGTCAAAGTTTTTATTATTTGTTAATTTTTATGATTCTTGATGTTTTTTCACTCCAAAAGTGTTTGAATTTCGAACTAGAGAAATTATTTTACGACATATTTTTGAATAGATTTAACAAAAATGTCTCAATATCAATATTGAAAAATCAAATTTCAACGAAATTAAGCATTCAAACATTTAATTGATTGTAAAAAGTTGAAAACTCTATTAAAAAATCAATTTTCATTTAGAATAATTTATTTCAATCCAAATATTTTCAAGAAAAAAGCTTTTATGGTGAGAATTCAGACCATACAAATTAGTAGAATCTAAAACTGTCTAAAACAAAACGGCATAGGAAGAGGGAAAAATTAATGAATTTGCATTAATTAATTAGCGAGACTTCACGCTCAAATTTTAATTTTTTCTGCTTTATGAGGCTGGTAAATATTTGAAAATTTAAATATTTATTTTCTGTGCTGTCTTACTTCTCACAACACGGACAGAATCTGATTTTTCTATCGATGAATTGATGACATTAGTCGATTTTTTTTTGTTGCTATCAATAATGTTAATTTGCTGACTGATTCATCTGGATCTTTTCCTTTTTCTTCTAAACTAATCGGTTAAAATTCACAAATTAATTCACAATAAACCGAATTAAGGCAAACAAACAAAATCAACAGGTGGCAATCACTTTGAAAATATTGTCAATTAAATGTTTCTGATTTCTAGCGACATAAAAAAATTTAGTATTGACGCCAGTTAATAATGAAATATTGGTATATAATCTTTTCTGTTGTTCTGTGATGATGAAACCAGAAATTTATTAATTAGGTGAAAAGAAATGCTTGAGATTGTTTACCAAAATATTATAAAAATTTGAGGAAAGAATTTTAATAAATTGAAAATATTCAAGGAGTTGAGTGCTTTCGGAAGTGATGAGAAAATGAGTGAGTGATGAAAAGTTTTGATGGAATTATGAAACTTTTTGAAGCATTGACATTTTGTGAGGAACTTTTGTACTTAGCTTCACAAAAATGGTCTAGAGATGGTCTAGGAGAGGATTTAAAGTACCGATGGTTGTCTACAAAGTGGGTTTCTTGGTTTAAAAAGGTTTAGAAGAGGTCAATATAGTCTAGAAGTGTTTAATAATGTTCTGAGATGGGCTTAAGGAAGTCTAAACGGATCAGAAGGAGTCTAAGCAGTCCATGAAGGATCAAGAAAGCTTTAGAAGGGACTAGATGAGTCTAGATATGTCTAGAAGAGGCTTAAAGAGTCTAGAAAGATCAAGAAGGGTCTAGAAATAATTCAGAGATAATTTTTCTTCAAAACCTCTTGATAAATTGTGATTTTTCGGTAAGGGTGGGGATTCACATCTCATTGAAAATGTATTAAACTGTCTATAGCTACATACAACAAAATAGGTTACCTTATAACAATCATAATGAAGAGGAGTAGCTCATTATTCGACAGAAGACATCCTGCAAAAAAAATCTCAATTTAAATAAATCAAAAACAAAGCAGAATCAACCCAAACAAAGCACCATTCAGTAGCCTTTACATCTCATTTCTCAATCGCCCTCAAATTTATCGAACGCATATAGAAAAAATTGAATAACCACTAAAACCAACGTAATTTTATTTTTTTTATATGTCAACTTTTTTTTTGTTTTCAGTAAACTCAATGCAACATTTTAATTTACTGAAAGAGGAAAACGGAAGTTGTGGGCGAACATAAGAAGAAAAAGTTACAGTTTTAATAGTTTTTTATTTCGTTGTGATGTTTATCAATATTTTAATCTCTTGTACTTTCACAAGTTTGTGGTGATTATTGTCAAGGTAGTCTGAGAATGTTGAATTTATTGATTTTTTTTGGGGCATATGCAAAAATATTGATTAAAACGTGAGATAAATGATGAATGTTTAGACGACGAATATGAATTTTGAATGGTTTTTTGCCAAGTGTTATGGTTTCTTGTAGTTTTGTGGCAAATGGCTTGATCCTTAATCCTCTCTATGGGTATAGCCAGGGAATCCGAATCAGGGCCCACTTTTGACTTTTTACCATCTGGAAATATTTTGATCCCTTTTAATGATTTTGATCAATTTTATAACCTTAAACTCTTCTGCTTAATTATAAAATGATATTCAAACGGTCCAATTACTACAATTTTGTAGAATCTGGATGAAAAGGTCTCAAAATCACTCAGCCTAAGCTCTGATTTTCCATTTGAAAAACTCTCAATTGAAACGCATTATAGCTTAATAATTGAAATCATAAGTTGAAATCAAAACCAGTCATATCAATAATTATTCAAACTTTTATTTTCTAGTTCAATGGTGAGTGAGAGAGTAAGAAAAATAAATCAAATGACCATATAAAGTAAAAATGTATACATAGTAAGCGGCATCCATAACACGATATTCACAATCTTTTTTTTTCACTGCACTCTCATTTTCATCATCTACACATTCACGTTCATGCATTATTCGGAATGAATTTAGTTCATTGTAAGGCACTTACACTGCACAAGTGCTAACTATCCCAGTCAATTAAAATCTAATTAGAATTTCAGTCTTGCTCAGCTTTCGTACTCAGTCAACTAGCTGATGTAGCTACTACACATGTTAGTTATTATGGAATTATATGTTGAATTTACTTGCTCGAAAAAGTAAAGATATTTTATCAACATTGAAAAATCACTTTTGCCTGTGCAGCACAAGTTAAAATAAAAACTTTATTCACGAGAAATTTACTCTTGAATGAGTTATGAGACTAGCAAATGTTGATGAAAATTTCTACGAAAATTACTTTATAGAGCTTGATGAAAGGTCATCAATTGTTAGTGAAGTTTAAACTGTTAGGAGAGACTTTATCGAAGCATGTTAATGGAAAAATTGTTTGACCAATATTGAAAAACTTTTTAATGTTTGTTGAAAAAATTCATATGTAAAAAAAATATAATACATTTTGCTCAACAAATGATGAAAAATTCAGTTATAAAAATTTTCAGCATTTTATTAAAAACCAACTCTAAATCTGGCAAATTTTTATGAAAATGTCAATTGAACACCCTTTCCAATAATATTGAATGCCATCACTTTTGGACATTTAAAATGAAATTCTCACCAAAATATAAAATTTGAAAATTGTTCCGATATAGCTACAGGACAATGCATTGACATCAAATAAAAAAATTCTAAACATGCGAATTTGCTTGTTTTGAAAGGTGATATTGAGTTTTACATTAAAATCAAAATTGATTGAAATAGCTTGAAGTCATTTACAAATATTTCATAAAATATAAAATATTTCATTTAAATTTTGAAAGTTATTTAAATATTTGATGAGTTTATAATATTTGGAATTAAAATATTGAACTTTAATAAAGTTATTAAATTGTTAAAATAGTTTGACAATATTAAGGAAATTTTGAATGGGGTCCTGCCTATTATGGAGGCATTCAGGAGACAACATCCAATAATGTTGCAAAAACTCTCGTAGGTGAACATTGACTATCCATAAAGTCCGCGCAAAATTTTTTAATGTGAATTAAATAAGTGTGAATTTGACAATTTATTAATCCCCCATCAATCGGCTTCCGTACATGGATATTCTCTAGCTAAATTAATATCTATTTTGTTATTAAAATTGTCTCATTTACATTTCAATATAGAATGACCATAGAGGAAGCAGATGAAATTTTGTTTTGGGAAACGATTTTTTTCTACACAAAAAAAATACTTTATCGACTTGAATGAGTCATCGAAATCTGCTCTGTTTTCTGTGCGGCATAAAGTCTTTTGAAATTTGATTTTATTATCTGTGTTACTTTTTTTTTGTTGTCAGTGGAGGATGGCTGCTATTTTTAATATAAAAATAGATAAAATCGGTAACAGTTCCAAAATAAGATTTTTTTTTTTGATTTTGAAATTAAGATTTTATATTATTTTTTATAAATTATTGGACTCGTCAAATTGCGGTTGTTATGTTTAATTTACAAAATTTTATGCAATTTTTTTGAGGCTTTAATCACTGTTTTTAAACTCTTGATTAGATATTAAAATTATTATAAAAGAGCTATGAATATTTTATCGCATCATTAATATTTTAAGGATAATCGTCAAAT